TCTCCTGGGCCTTCCCGCGTCTTCTCAGGGCTTGTGGCCTGACCGTTTCGGGCCCAAGAGTACCCCTAGACGGGCCAAAAAGGCCCTCAAGACGGTCCACGAGGGCCCCGAGTCGCCGAACGATGGCTCCAAGACGCTCAAGATGGCCCCCAAGACGATCCAGGATGCCTCCAAGACGCCCCAAGAGGCCTCCAAGACTCCAAGAGGCCTGCCACGAGGGCCCCAAGAGGCCAGAACCACTGATGTTCCGAAGTTTCTGTATTTGTTTATTGGCGCTCTCGCCTTTCCGGCTTCCCGACGCTCCCAGACGGCCCTAGAGGCTCCGAAGATCACCTCAAGACGGCCCAAGAGGCCTCTAAGAGGGCCCCAAAACGGCCCAAGAAGCGGCCAAGACGGCCCAAGAGGCCCCAAGTACGGCTCCAAGAAGGGACCCAGCGGACATTTCGAGCCCTCGGCCCCAAGGGGCCCCACAGGAGGTTCCAGGAGACCCCCAAGAGGTCTCCAAGAGGCCCCAGGAGGCCCTTAAGAGTCTTGGGGCCTCTTGGGGCCCCCTGAGAATTCTGATCCACAACCCAGGCACGCTGGCGGGATGGGCCGAATACCATTCGATCCGCCGCCCCCTGCTTGCAGGGGTGCACGGCGTGCTGGATGATTCAGTTTTGGTTTTGGTTCTTTTTCTAAAAGAACTCCCCAGTGGGCTTCGGCCCGTCCCGCCGGCCACCCGCGCGTTTCCCAAAATGCGTCTGTCAATGCCCAAAAACGGCCGTTTCGCTCGGGACATCCTCAAAAAATCGCGAAGATGGCCCAAGATGGCCTCCAAGTCCGCCCGAGATGGTCCAAGACGGCCTCCAAAACGGCCCAAGAGAGTCCAAGACGGCCCAAGACGGCCCAAGAGGCCCCCCAGAGGCCTCCCAGACGGCCCAAGAGGCCTCCAAGAGGTCCTCCAGGAGAGTCCGAAGAGGCCAAAATCATTGATTTCCCATTGGTTTTTGAAGGATTTTGGCATTTGCGCCTTTTCGGCTCTCCGACGGCTCAAGACGGCCCAAGAAGCCCCCAAGATCGCCCAAGAGGCCCCCAAGAGAGCCCCATGATGGCCCAAGTGGCCTCCAAGATGGCCCCTAGAGGGCCCCAAGAGGGCCCAAGAGGCCTCCAACACGCCCAAGATGGCCTCCCAGACGCCCAAGATGGCCTCCAAGACGGCCCTGGAGCATTCCAAGCGGGCCCCAAGTCGGCCCATAGAGGCCCCCCAAACGGCTTCCGACGGCTTCAGACGTGCCAGGAACCCACCAAGATGGCCGAAGTTGGCTCGAAGCTGGCCCGAGACGGCCCAAAAAGCTCCAAAGATCGCCCAAAGCTTGCCCAAGAGGCCTCCAAGACGGCCAAGATGACCTTCAAGATGCCCACGTGTTCCCCGAAGGCTTTCCAAACCGATTCGGGGAACACGTGGTCCGATAGCTTGGCAGGTCTGGCCTCAACGTTCGCCCACATAGGCGCTTCCAAAAAGGCAGGGGGCGGCGGTGATTCGCCGTAGGCGTCTTCGATCCGCTGCCCCGTGGTCTTGCCACAAGGGTCCCCGGCGTGCTAGACCCTACTGGTTTTGTTGTTGTTCTTTTTCCAAAAGAACTCCCCCTGGGGCTTCGGCCCGTCCCGCCGGCCACCCCGAAGGGACCGCAAACAACCTCAACGACCGGAAAAAATCTCCGAAGATGGCCCAAGACGGCCTCCAAGAGGGCCAAGATGGCCCAAGATGGCCTCCAAGTTCGCCCAAGATAGTCCAAGAATGCCTCCAAGACGGCCCAAGATGCCTCCAGGTCCGCCCAAGAAGCCTTCAGGACGGCCAAAGATGGCCTCAAGATGCCTCCAGGACGGCCCAAGATGGCCTCAAGATGGCCCAAGACGGCCCAAGAGGCCCCCAAGAGGCATCCAACACGGCCCCAGTGGCCTCCAAGAGGGCCTCCAGGGAGCCCCGAAGAGGCCAAAATCATTGTTGTTCTTAAGTTTTTGAATGATTGTTTGGCAATTGCTTCTGTTCGCCCTTCCGACGGCCCGAGACGGCCTAAGAGCCCCCAAACATCGCCCCAAGATGGCCCAAGAGGCCTCCAAAATGGCCTCAGAACGGCCCAAGAGGCCCACAAGACGGCCCCAAGAGGGCATCAAGACGGCCCAAGAGGCTTCCAAAACAGCGAGAATGGCCTCCAAGACGGCCCTGGAGCACCCCAGAATGGCCCCAAGACGGCTCAGAGAGGCCCGAAAGACGGCTTCCGAGGGCGTCAGACAGGTCAGGAGGCCGTCAAGACGGCCCAAGATGGCTCCAAGATGGCCCAAGAGGGCCCCCAAGAGATCGCCAAGACGGCCCGAGAGGCCTCCAAGAAGCCTCCAAGAGGGCTTCCAGGCAAGCCCGCAGAAACCAAAACCATGACTTCTTTGGTGTTGGAAAGATTTGGGCAGTTGCTTCTGTTCGCCCTTCCGACGGCCCGAGACGGCCCAAGAGGCTTCCAAGATGGCCCCAGAACGGCCCAAGAGGCCCCCAAGACGGCCCCCAGACGGCCCAACTTCCAAGACGCCCGAGAAGCTTCCAAGATGGCCCCAGAACGGCCCAAGAGGCCCCGCAAACGGCCCCCAGACTGCGCAAGAGGCTTCCAAGACGCCCTAAATGGCCTCCACGACGGTGCTGGAGCACCCCAAGAGGGCCCCAAGTCGGCCCAGCGAGGCTCCCAAGACGGCTTCCGAGGGCGTCAGACGGGCCAGGAGGCCATCAAGACGGCCCAAGATGGCTCCAAGATGGCCCAAGACGGCCCAAGAGGCCCCCAAGAGGTCTCCAAGACGGCCCGAGGCCCCCAAGAGGGCCTCCAGGAAGCCTCGAAGGCCAACATCATTGATGTTCCTTAGGATTGTTTGCGGATTTAAACGTTTGCTTCTGTTCGCCCTTCCGACGGCCCGAGACGGCCCAAGAGCCCATCCACACATCGCCCCACGATGGCCCAAGAGGCCTCCAAGATGGCCCCGTAACGGCCCAAGGGGCCCCCAAGACGTCCCCAAGAGGGCACCAAGACGGCCCCAAGAGGGCACCAAGACGGCCCAAGAGCCCTCGAAGACGCCCAAGGCGGCCTCCAAGACGGCCCTGGAGCACCCCAAGAGGGCTCCAGGTCGGCCCAGAGAGGCCCCCAAGACAGCCTCCGACGGCGTCAGACGGGCCAGGAATACCCTAAGACGGCCAGACAAGCTCCCGAGAAGCCCCTGACGGCCCCGAAGATGCCCAAGGAAGCTCCCAAGATGCATCCCAAAGGCTCCCAGGAAGCTCCCAGGAGGCCCCAAGAGTGCCCCCACAGACCCCCCACGATCCTCCCTCCTCCTCTTCCTCCTCCTCCTCCTCCTCCTCCAACTCGTACTCCTCCCCTCCTCCTCCTCCTCCTCCTCCTCCTCCTCCTCCTCCTCGCACTCCTCCTCCTCCTCCTCCTCCTCCTCCTTCTCCTCCTCCTCCTCCTCCTCCTCCTCCTCCTGATCTTCCTCGCCATCCTCCCCCAGGTGTTCCCCGAAGGGTTTCTACAACGGCTGGGGGGACACATGGCCCGATAGCTCGGCAGAGCTCTTGGCACAACGCTCGGCCACATGGGCAATTCCAAAAGCCAGGGGGCGGTGGTGATTCGCCGTAGGCGTCTTCGATATTTGATACCATCGGACCGTTCCTTCTGGCTACCATCCAGCGGTTACTGCCCCAGATTTGCATATCAATCATGACGTCGCGATCCGATGTTTGCCAAAAGTTGGTTACGCGGTTGCAGCCACCTAAAGGTGACAACTAAGATGAAGCGGGAAAGAAGGAGGGGGAGGAGGAGAAGGAGGAGGAGGAGGAGGAGGAGGAGGAGGAGGAAGAGGAGACAGATGAGAAAATATAGAATCGGGTGGAGGAACAGCAGGAAGAGAAAGAGATAAAGGAGGAGGAGGAGGAGGAGGAGGAGGAGGAGTTGGTGGGCGATAAGAAGTAGCAGAAGCGACACGATGGCAGGCTGGAAAACTTCGGACCCCCGATGTCACGATCTGGTCGACACGTCGGCGGTGTGTGAGCGACAAGACCTTCGATCTCTCTGCGCGCGGTGATGGACGTCGGTCTCGGCGTGACCAGCACCACTGTGGGGGCGCCCGGAAACGCCAGGAAAGAAATCACCTCCGCCGAAGCGACGGGCGACCTGCCCGCACAGTGTGGCCGATTCGCCATCTGGTGGGGCTGCTCCGGCGGAGGGCTCTGCGAGCCTGAAGGTTTCTGGCCTCGCTCATATCTGCGAGACGGCATACCGCCAGGCCCCAAGCATCCTGGGCGGGGACACCAGCTGCCAGGGACGGGAGTCGGGGAGTCACTTCCCCCACAAACGGCGGTAGCACTCTTGAAGGCATGAGCCGGGGCGCACCACCAAGCGACACTCCGAGCGCTGCCCTGGGCAGGACTGCGGGGGAGGTCTTCGAAAGTGCGCCTAACTCCATGGCGCCCCGCACTGACCTGTGCTACTGCGCTGCGCGAATACTCCACGCTATCACTCGAGGCTGTGCACCGTGCGCTGTGCAGTCGACCCTTGCGCGGATGCACGCTCACCGCTGGATACTCGTATCCTTGCTGACGTGCGCTTGTGGTTCCAACGTGACCCTGCGCGCCCCTCTACGGATCGCCCTCTCGCAGTCCTGGTCTGTCGCTCGTAGTTCATCAATGTCAAAGCCTTGTGCGCCATCTTCCTGTCGTCGAAGTTCTGCGCCGCCTCGTTCGCGGCCCAGCACCTTGCACGGCTGGCGAGGGCAGGCAGACTGGGGCGGATGAGCATGCGCAGAAGCACGAATACACAGATGCAGCGAGCGGGGCTATCCTGGAAGATGTTGACCTGCACCCTCCGAGAATACATTCCGAGCATGGCACGTGTTTTTGCGGCCGGGCGCGCTTACTCAGACTGCCGAGCCGCCGACCCACAATCTTGATGGAACATGCAGGCAGGAAACATCCGTGTTGGTAATATAGTCTGGCCCCAAGAACGTGGGCAAAGAGGAATGAGCCCCCTTCCCCGAAGGCCCCATGGACACACCAAAAACAATAATTTTTCAAAGATGCAGAGCCCGCTCACGCAGAACGTAAGGCTATCCCCTCCATAGCTAAGGCTGTTCATAACCCTCGTGCCAGCTGTAGGGTGCGCTCCATCCAACACACACATTCTCCACTAATTATGTTTCGAGCTCCGTCCAGCCGTGGCGACGAGAACCTTCGAGACGTCCCTAAACATTCAAAACGACGACGACGACAACGACGACGAGGAGGAGGAGGAGGAGGAGGAGGAGGAGGGCGGCAGTGGCGGCGGTGTCGAGCGACCACAACGACGATAACCACAATCGGCTCAAACAGGTCTCTGGACCCTTTCTGGGGTCAATCCTTGCTAATTTCTCGAACCTCAAGAAACGCACAGAAATCATGAAAACGTGGACGCTGCCGTCGTCGTCGAGTACGACGAGGACGAGACACACGACGTCGGCGGCGGCTGCGGCGGCAAGGTCGAGCGACGACGGAGACGTGCCAAAGAGTCGTCGAGGCCCGCCTCTCGGAGAAGTCGCGCTGGCGGTCCCGGATGCGCTCGACCTCTCCCCGACGCGGGCGGGACCCCGCCGGGCACCGGGCTGGCTGGCCGGGCGCAGCAGGGCGCGCAAACTGGCAAGGGCTACACGGCGGGCGCGTGCGATACGAAGCCTTGCCGTGAGAGAACCTTGAGGCACAGTCGTCGTCGACCAGTGAGGGTCCTGAGGTTACCCGAGAGCTTCTGTGGGTCCCCGGGGGCCATGTGGGGATCGGAAAGTTCCGTGGGGCACCCGCTGGCAGGCCGATCTCTGAGCCGATGTGTCTGCTGCAGGGGAGGCGCGGTGAGGATGTGAGGAACGCTGGCGCCCGAGCGGAAGCCCTTCTTCGAGCGAGAGTGGCCAGCGCTGGTGACTGACTATGGGCTGGCGAAACAAGGATGGAAGGGTGCCCTTAGAAAGATGCTCGACGCTCATCCATCTGATCGCGTCTGGCTTTAACGCAGTGGGGCGGTCGTACGAACACAAACAATGGGAGGTCCATGCAGATTTCTTGGATCGGCGCTGGACCCCGTGGCGACGCCCGCTGCGCCACCACAGGCGCGCCTCGCACGCCTGAGAGGGGGTCCAGCGCCGACTCCAGGAAATCCGCGTGGACCTCCGAAAACGTCTGATCATGTAAGATTCTCGTTCTCCGGGCTTACACAATGGCAGGGCCCGAGGTGGCTCTGGCAAGGCATGGTGGCGCATAAGAGATCATCCAAAGATCCGCAATCCTCCTCTTCTCGAAAACCTTCGACCCTCGATCTGCATGATCCTGTCTGCTCATCCCTGCAAGCTCCAGAGGAGGCTGCACGATATGATGGTATGACGGTGATCAAGTGCGAAGTGTAACGAACTTTGCCACGACCGGCGCAATTACTTGGCCCCCAATAGGTACCAGACGACGCATTTCCAAACGCTGGCCCAGCATTCATGTTTGGACATCACCTGGGCCGCTGCTATATAACTCCTACAGGCATGAGTCAGATAGACAAACAATCCCCCTCGTTCTCCTCCTCCTTATCGATCGTCCTGTCCCTCGTCCTGCCCAACTGCCGCTGCGCCTGTCCGAGAACATCGGTCCGCAGATAACATCGAACCACAATAGGCACGAACATAGAAACACAAACCGCTCGGAGTGTGTATGTATGTGTGTGTGGAGTAATCAAGGGCGCGCGTCCCGCACCTAGGAGCAACGGACCGCGGCCTGAACCAGCGGGGCCCACATAGGCCGCTTTGGAGCCCCTGGGCAAAACCGGAAACTCGGCAGCAGGCGACCCCCAAATCGCCGATCAAAGAGCCTCCGAACCCTCGGAGGCCAGGGAAAAACTGAGAACAACTCTCACCCCTGGGATAGAGCGGCGGCCTGTGGCCCCGAGCCCAAAGCCTTACCCGTCATCGGGTGGAGCCCCTGAACAAGCCGATCCCTCCGACGAGCTCGCTCACGCTCGGCGGGCGTCGCGCGCTGCCGAGGCTCAGGGGGCGTGCCAGGGCAGGCTCAAGACAGACTCCGAGATTGCTTCTTGGACAAGGCGCTGCATCTGCGGCAGAAAATGTAGGGGAGCCGAGCGAGGATCTCGCGGCCTCGGTCCAGGACGACCTCCTCCGACCCACCCGAACGAGGCCCACCCGCCTCCCCGCCCTCCTCCTCGGCGCAGCAGCGGTCGCGGCACAGCCGCGGGCTGCCTGGCCCCGCATTCGCGGGGCCTGCGCTGCAGCAGCAGGCGCCGTCGGTGGCGGTGGCGTCGCTGGCGCCGCCGTCGGCGGGGCAGGGCTGCTCGACCGCGTTCGCATCGCGCGATCCCCCGCCCTCCCAGCCACCTCGCACGCCGACTCCCCCAGCTCCCCCAAGGGGGGCCTCCAGCAAACCACTCGAGGGGGGCTCAGGAGGGGAAAGGGGGCACGGCGAGAGGCAGGGGCAGCAGGTGCACCCCCCCGCAGCTCTGAGAAGGCGATCCACGATCGCAGCACGTCGGGCATCGTCCGAGAGGCTGATCTCGGGACGCACCGAGGGGGAAACGTCGGGCCCCGAGCCCGCGACCTCCGAGGCAAACCAGCGCCCAGACGGGCTCGAGGGCTCGGTCGAGGCCAGCACGCGGGCAGATCGATCCAGCTCGAAGGCTTGGGACGACTGGGTTCCGCGCAACCTGCGTCGAGACCTGAGCGGGGGCGCAGAGGGGGCGGGGCCGCCCCTCGTCCGGAAGGATCCCGAACGGCCTTCCCCACGCACCGCCGAATGCCGCGGTGCTAGAACTGCTCGCCGTTGTGTCCCTCGATGTGGCTCTCGGCCCGCGCCAACAGCCAGCGCGTGACCCCCTTTTTGACTTGGTCACGGACGTCGCGAGGTGACATCTCCAGGAGGTGCAACACAGCGTTAAGGTCGGTCTCGAGCGTGGTAGCCGAGCTGAGCCGCCAGCCGATCCGAGCCAAAGAAAGCCACAGCGCGCCGATGGGTCCACGTACTCTGCCCCAGCTGGGCTGGGTGCGCATCTGGCCGCCCACGACCCGCCGCGCGGCCCTGAGGGCCTGCATTTCCACCCGGCCTTCCCAGAGCTGGGTCGCATGCATGTAGACGATGCTGGTGGTCGCCGTGTAGAGCGGGTCGTACAGCGCCTGGTCCTGCATGAGCATGCCCATGCAGATACTGCCCGTGGGGCGCACTCCTGCCAACATGGCAGCTACCGATCGGATCGGCTTGAGCGCGGCGTCTGCGACCCCACTGACCGAGGCCCCGCGCGTGACCGACGGCGTGAGACCAGCCGTCTTGATGCGCGTCATGCGCCTGGCACCCACTGCCTTCTTGAGAATCATGGATCGTCGAACTCGGCCGCGTGGCTGCGCAAGTCTGCCGGCCCCCTGGCGGCGTCGCACTCTGGGTCCACCCAACTCGCGCCCGAGGTTGCGGATCCACGGTCGGCCGGTGATTTGCCAAGCCCGCGCCGCCAAGCTGAACCGCCGTGCAGCGCGACTTGGCGAAGCCACGTAGCCCAGCTTCTTGATCTGGATGGGCAGCTTGAGGGACTTGAGCTCGCGCGTGAGAGCTGGTCGATGCCCTCGCCAAGCTCCAGCGAGCTGCGGCCAGCGGGGCCAGTCCACTGCAACGACACGTCGTCCACCAACTGCCTGGGCTACAGCGTCGGGCAGAGGGCGCTGAGCCGCAGCATAGCTCTGTGCATCGGCGCCGCCAGGAGCGTGGTCGCCTGCGAGCAGCCTGCCACGATGCCCTGGAACGAGATGTAGAGCTCGCTCTCGCTGCCGTGGGCCCGCACCACGCGAGGGTTGCAATAAAACTGCACCAGTCGCCATGCAAGTCTCGGTGGAAATCCCACTTCGATAGCTTCGCGCACCATACTACAGGCGCAATCATTTCGAAACAGTTCACCAAGTACACCATGAGTGTGATCACGTCCTGTTGCCTGGCCAGCGCAATCTTCGAGGACAAGTTGTGGGCGAAAGCGGAGGCAGAAGAACTCCTGCTTGGGCCAAGCCCCCAGGCGCGCCCCTCTCGATGGGTGGCTTCCCACCAGGCTGCCAGCGGGCGCCGCGCGCAACTCCAGAGGCGAACCACCGTGTTGAGTCGCCCGGTCAGTCTCATGCCTCATACAGCCTTTGGTAATCGGACTAGGACTGTCACGATACGCTGCGGCGGCCATCCAAGGCGACACTCGCTGGCGAGGAATAGTAGCGACAGCGCCAGCAAAGCCTCGTCGGAGAGGACGTCGAGCTGCCTCGGGCGGGGGCCTGTTTGGCCAACGGCCGCGCCCTGCTTGAAAGAGCGGATGGCCGAACGCAGGTCTTCCGCCGCGAGGCGCGGGAGCTCTGGCCAATGCTCAGTACTAGGAGGGAGCGAGGCCTCGCCGAGCTGGTGATGCTCCCAAATGGCCTTCCAGTCGCCGAGCTCGGCGTTCGCGAGGTCGCACGGGTGGCCGCTCACATTGGCCCGTGGGACTTCTACCTCCTGCCTCGTCTTGGCGAACCTGCGTGCCAGCCCAGCGCATCCCGCGAACGCGTCTTTCGCCCAAGTGGCCCAGGCTTTGGTGCACCTAGCCTCAGCCTCCGCGGCGAGCTGCTTGGCCTTGGCGATGATGCCCTGCAGTCGGACAACCACCGCTCGGCTGGCCAGCATCTCAGGGCCGGCCGGGAAGATCTCACGAGCACCGCCATCCAGCTGTCTCAGGATGTGCTGCTGCTTGCTGATGCGCCCGCAGAACGCCTCGAAGGCGAGCAGCTCGGCGGCCAGGCTATCGAGCCGCGTGTAGCGTTGCAGCCCGTGGAAGACCATTCCTCTGGCAGCTCCTGGAGGCCGCGGCTGAGGTGCACGGCCTGCTCGATCGCCTGAGCGCTGGTCGAGCCACTCCCGCTGCTGCTCGAAGGCTCGTAAATGCATGTCCACCGCCTCGGCCCAGTCCTTCTCAGAGCGTTGGCGCAGCTGCTGGAGGTGAGCTGCGGCTGCGACTGCGGCTGCCAGCCCGATAGGCCGATTCGCACATCTCACGGGCCCGACGCCACCGTCTTGCATCTCGTGGTAGGGCCTCGCCCCAGCCGCCACCGTCCCACAGGGCATCAAAGACTGGGCCCCGCAGCTGCTCCGCTGTGTACGGCACGCACCACTCCATCCAGTCGTCCAGAACGTCCTGCTCTGTCTGCTGGTCGTTGAGCGGGTCGCCGATCCAGTGCTGGGTGTGCCGTCGGAGCTCCCGTTGGCATGCTTCTTGTCGTCGCTGCGCCACTACCTGGTCGGGGTCCTCACCGCGGTCCCTGGGCGGAGCCTGGCTATCTTCGCCAACGTCCATCGTGGCATACGAAGACCCCCCCGTGGGTCGAGCGCCCAGCGGGGGGGGATCCTGACCAGGCCCAGGCAAGCCGCCAGATTCCGCCTGTGCAGCACCACCTCCATGTCCATCGTGAGCGAGACTGGGATCTGGAGACTGGCTATCTCCACCAGCGTCCATCTTGGCGACGAACGACCTCCACGTGGGTGGTGCGACCAGCGGGGAGGGATCCTGACCAGGCCCTTGCGGGCCAGCCTCCAGACCATCCTTCGGCGCCCAGCGGCGTCGCGTCCACATCGTCGAAGGGGCCCATCTCGCCGTCCATGTTGTGCAGCGTCGGTCTTACAGGGGGTGCGACGGGGCGAGCGTCGCAGCACCTCTCCATGCCGCCTTCAGCAACACCGTGTGAGAGGGCATCGGCCACCCCACCGCCGCGGGCCTCGCTCGGGCATGCAGCAGGAAGGCGACGGGGCGAGCGTCGCAGCACCCGCCAGGCCGCCAGGAGCAGCACCATGTGCGAGGGCATCGGCCACCCCGCCGCGGTTGGCCTCGCTCGGGCTCACAGGGGGGGCGTCGGGGCGAGCGACGCAGCAACTCGCCAGGCCGCCAGGAGCAACTTGTTGCGCGGGGGCCTCGGCCACCCCACCGCTGCGGGCCTCGCCCGGGCTTGCAGGGAGGGCGACGGGGCGTGCGTCGCAGTACCTCGCCAGGCCGCCAGGAGCAACAACATGTGCGAGGGCATCGGCCACCCCACCGCTGCGGGCCTCATAAGCAGCAGGCCCTTTCCCCTGGGCACGCGGGGCGCGCGCAGTCGCGCCGTCGTCGATCACGTTCGGGCCATGCTCTCCAACCGGCGTTAAATCGAGAAGGTCAGCCTCCAAAGTCGAAACCAGGGCTGAACTGACCTCTGAGGGGGTAGCTGCAGGGCCCACCTGGCCGCTACTGCCCCCCTGCGCGGTCTGAACAAGCATTGGAAGGGACAGACGGCGCGCGCGATGATGGGGTCCACCTGACCACCTCGTTGCTCGTCTTTCTAATCGGCCTGGGAGATTGTGAGCTGGGCGACTGTCTTGCCCACGTAGCCGCGCACTTGCATGATATGCTGGGCCCGCCTGGCCGCAGCCGCCCATGCGCTCACGTCGGGCCCGCGGCGTGCTCGTCGCGCGGGAGGGTGCCGCTGGAGTTGGCGCGTGCGCTGCTGGACTGGGCCTTCTCTGCCCACGTAGCGCTGCTTGCGAGAGCCGACGATGTCGCGTCTTCCTGCAAGCTCCTCCTCAATGCCTCGGAGGACCACATCACATGCTGTCGCGAGCTGGGGAAGAGACTGCGCCTGATCGATGGGGCCGTATTCCTGCCCCCAGCAGCGCTAGGGGTAGCGCGCGCGCCCCGCAGGCAGCTCCCGAGGAAAGAGCCTCGGTTCGTCGAGCTCGCGGGCGATCGGCGGCTCTGTGCGCTTGGCAATGGCCAGCGTGACGGGCCGATGCGGCCAGGTGATGTCAATGGCGGAGACGCCAACCTCGAACGCGACGCAGTGCAGCATGGGCCCATATACCAAGAAATAATCCAGCGTCGTGGCAGGCGCGGCCTGCGCGCATGTCGGCCCCAGCGGGGCAACGCAACTGGCGCTAGCCAAGGGGGGCCAGTCATGCTCCAGCAGCTCCTGCGGCGACATGTGGAAGTCGCCGCCGGCGGCCCACGCCGGCCCAGGGCCTGCGACCACGCGCTGCACATACTGCACGACCTGCCACGCCAGCGCCACGTTGCGGGGCGACCTGCCCTCACCCGCGTGGAGGTAGAGAGCCGCCGCCACGAAGCCGCCATGAAGGGCAGCATGGACATGGGCTGCCACGGCCCTGCCTGGCACAACGATGCCGTCGTCCAACAGCGACGCCTGGGTGACGGCGACGTCGTTCTTGGCCAGGGCCGCGACGCCTCCCCCAGTGCCCCCCAGCCGCGGTGGGCAGCGCGGGGCACCAGACGCCACGCCAGCCAGCGACCTGGGCGTCACCCTGCACCTCAGAGAGCTTGTCAAAGCGCGCGTGGTGCTCCTGCGCGATGACCACGTCGCTGCTGCAGTCGACGAGCTACTTGGACATTGGACAATGTGCCAAAAGAGTTGGCATGAACTGTGGAAATCTGCAA